AAAGGGAGTGGTCTGGGAGGCTGATACTCTGATAACCAATCTTTTATGTATTGAGATGCTGATCCCTTTAGTGATTTACATACTAATAGAAAGATTTTTAAATATTTTCTCTGAGCTACAGGGGGCCAATGAAAGGACTTAAAGTAAGAACTTGGCAGATGTGCTCTACTTTCTTAGTTCAAGTGAGAACAAGAGCAGCAGTGTTTGGATCAGCTGTAGCTGTCTGTGTGATGATCCTGGCACTGGAGCTGATTCTGTCTCCAATTAATTCTCTGGTTTAGTCTCCACCCTCTCTGCAATTATATCTGGTTTCACCTGTCGCCACCTGCATATAAGCTCCGTCCTGATCAGTCTCCAGTGCCAGATGGTATCGAGTCAACTCGGTAAGAACCTTCCAGCCTTTAACATTGTGAACCTGTCTGTCTGCCTACCGACTACCGACCTGTCTTTGTCCCCTGATTCTGAGCCTGCCTGATCACTCTCTGGATTTGTCTGCCTGTGTGAGTCCTGATACTGGATCCCGGATTGACCACCTGTGCTATTGATCCCTTTTCTGCCTGTGAGTACCTGAGCCTGCCTGCCCCCTTTACTCTCTGTGTATATCAGGAGATTGGACCTGGAACTGGAATCAGAAATATCTGCTGGATTACACCCTCTTGTACCTCTGCTGCTTTATTGGACCCCATTACCAAACCTGGACTGTCTCTGGACTAAAGCCCCTAGAAAGCCTGCACAGTTTGTCGACCGCTCAACGGTCCGCCCCTGCAAAGCATCTAGCAAAGGCTCTGATGGGTTCATAGTTGGCTGGCAAGCTCAAGTGGTAAGTCACCCATTCTGCAAAAAAGTATTGGGGGAATGAGCTGCCAGCGTGGGTCCTTTGGCAAGACCCTTCCCACTAATACCTGCTTTGGGGAGTGGCAGCCTAGTGGTAAGGGCATTGCGCTTGGAATCCTGAGGTTCTGAGTTAGAGCTCCACTCCCACGGACTGCCACTCTTGGTCCCTGAGCAAGACCCTTAATCCCCCCACTGCTCCCTAAAGGGATGGGTTAAATGCAAAGGGCTAATTTCGTTGCTCTGCACTTGTGACAGTGTGATAACAATAAAACACTGGAAATAAAACACTGAAAAAAATATCTTGGGAGGGACCCACTCTGAGTCTGGTTCTGCTGGAGGTTTCTTCCTGTTAAAAAGGAGTTTTCCTCTCCACTGTCCCTACAGGCTTCCTCAGTGGGAGAGATTGTAGAGCGTCTATGAGTCCATGCAATTAGCTGGTTTTCCTTAGATAGTAAATCTTAACCAATCTGACTGTTACTTGCAAGTAATTGAATTGAAAAAAGCTTTTCTCATTGCACCTTCTCTCCATGTGAGTCTCTCCCGGTCTTTCAACATTTAACTGTTGAAATCATCAGTAATCTTACTGATGAAGTTTAGCTTTGAGATGGGTCTGTTTCCCTCTTAAACGTCACCATCTCATAGAAGAAAAGATGTCCATCCTATTTTGCTAAAGTTAATAATTTCTTTTATCATAAAACTTAAAAATAATAAATAAATTAGTGTTGTTTAATAAGTACAACATGCTTTTCTTGTTGATTTCTTTTATGAAATACATTTTTTCTTTTGTTAAAAGTAGCTCTAAATGAGTTTAATTGCAACTTGTGGATAGAAAAGGTTTAAGACCCCTGTTTATTGATATATGGATAAAATTCAATGGTTAGTTTAGAGAGACACTCAATAAAAGGGAGCATTATTCGTAGATCCCCATCTCTTCATGTCAATACTTTTTAATTTGAGTAGTCTTCACTCAATCCCATAAGTACCTATTAAGGTTGTAGTAAGAGAGCAATTTTTCTAACCAGTTTCAACAAATAAGAGGTATTGCAGCCAGCTGAATAAAAGAATTTCCTCCTCATGACATATGAAAAAAAGACAATTATGAACTAAACAGAGAAAAAAACAAAAAATTATCATCGACGTGAATAATTGTGTGGTCATTGAAATGACTCATTTGCCTGGCTCAGTGTTGTTGAGCTGTAAGATCACAGCTTATCAGTACACCACAACTTGAGTGACATTTTTCTATACTGAACCACAAGGCTGGGGTTATGTCAGATTGCCACAAGTTCAAAGCAACCTCAAGAATAACTTAAGTAAAGCCCTGGAGATGTCCCGCGGCTCCCTCGGACAGGGGCGCAGTTCTTATGGTTGGAGATGTTTGTGGCAGCTCTGGGTCTGTAAGCCATTCTCAGTTAAAGCAGAGAAGCCTTGAAGTTGAAATGTCAGCTGGGGTCGGGTCAGAGATGGAAACCTCTGGAAAAGCATTCAGTGACAGGACTATTGGAGAAGTGCTTTCCCTATAGCAACATAGAGATGAACTGATCGCAAGAAATGTAGAGTGTAATTCAGGACTATGACTGAGACAAGATCTCTTTATTCACCTGTTCCATTGGCTCTACATACTATTGGAGAAAAACTATTTGATGACCAGACTGAGAAATAACACATTTTCACTTTATACAGTAAAACATATGTTTACTTTAGTAAAATCAAATACAAAAGCTGTGTTTTTCCCAAAAAGAGTCAGTTTCATATGTTGCCCCTATAGGGCTATGCTTCAGAAAGGTATCTTCTGATTTAAATAAAACATCTACACCGTGTTTTCATAGTAGGTTTTGATAGAATGCAAAATAATCCACAGGTCATCCCCTACTCTTACTTCACCTCCAAAAGTCACTCTAAGCTGCCATCTGCTGGTTATGCTTTAGTTTCCTGACTTTCTAAGTCAAGGCCATGTTGGCTTTTGCACAATAAATACAAAAAAACTCAACAAAGCAATCCTTTATGTAATGCACACCCACTTGAAACTCAAATGGTTTACAGTTACAGATATTACTTAATGAAAAAGTAACAGCCTTCTTCCCTGTTGTTGCTTAAAAGACAAGTCCTAAATGTTCCTGCTCCTGTCTAAATGAAAATGGCCTCTATAAGAAATAAAAGGGTTTAATGCACCAGTTCAGTCCCTTGTTGAAATAAACTTATAGTGTATAGAACAAATGCATTCTCCACTATTAGTTTGAACTCTTTAAAATATCCACAAATGGAAGGATGGTGATGAATTAAGGCTGCCACAAAAACACTGCATATTACACTGAAAGCACCAATCCCAAATGTGAAACATGTTGATGGCAACATGGTGTTTTTTTGTTTTTGTTTTTTTTTTTCCAGAAATTGTGAGGTTTGTAAGATTTGATGATAATATGGATGTGGAGGAATACAGAGACCTGGGTGGATTATACTTGCACTGATGAAGATTTATCCTGGCCAGGCTTATCCATCCATCCATTTTCCGTCACGCTTATCCCAAGTGGGGTCGCAAGGGGTGCTGGTGCCTATCTCCAGCTGTCTACAGGAGAGAGGCGGGGTTCACCCTCGACAGGTCACCAGTCCAACGCAGGGCAACACAGACAAACATCCATTCACACACCGAAGAAGAATTTTAGAGAAGCCAATTAACCTAATAGTCATGTTGTTGGAGCGTGGGAGGAAGCCAGAGTACCTGGAGAGAACCCACGCATACAGGGAGAACATGCAAACTATATTCATTTGTTTGAATAGCTTGGTCAAAGTACAGACCTCGGAGAGGTAAATATTTCAGGCTTTAGATTTTGGGAACGTACCCCAAAAAGCCATACATCTTGCAGAAAAACATAATTCTCAAAGTTTTTGTATGTCAGAGGGCTGTGCTGCATGTTTTACAGATTTTTATGTTTTTTTAATTTATTTAGAAATTTCACCCTTCACAATTATACACCACATTGTGCTGGTCTATCACATATAAACTTAAAAAAGAACATTACAGCTTGTCATGAGCAATTAACACTTTTTGCAAGGCATTGAAGGAGCACCCCATTTCCAGCTAGCTGCACAATTAACATATTATTCGTGTGAATTCAATTCAATGCAGTTTATCTATATAGTGCCAATTCACAACATATGCAATCTCAAGGCACTTCACAGAGACAACACAATCAGATTGGTTGGAGGTTTTTGTAAAAGAAAATCATTGACTTGCAAGACATCTTCCTGGATTAGCTTGTGGTGGCGATATTTGCTTGCATTTTGTTGTCGACTGTTCAGCAGTCCCTCACACCAAGCATGCATGCAGCAACAGGGGAGAGGAAAAACTCCCTTTTAACAGAAATAAACCTACAGCAGAACCAGCCTTAGTGTGAGCTGCCATCTGCCGAGGCCGACTGGGGATAAAGGAGAGACAAGCAGATACACAAAAAAAAGCAAATATTCAAAATTTAACAGTAGACTAGTTGTTTGCCAGACTAGAGAGTCGAGCTTTCGTGGACAGGTGGCCCAGTCCACGAAAGACACAGTCGGGCAAGCTCCAAGGCAGTTCTTTAAGGATAAAAGAGAACAAATACAGTTAGTCTCAGTAAAAAAAAAAAAAAAAAAAAAAAACAAGACTACATCGAAAAACAGGCCCAACTCCAACCAGACAAAGCTACCATAACAAGAAAAAGCAAAAAAAAAACCAAAGCAATGGGTGGAAATACTACAGAATAGGGAAATATATATAGAATGAAGCAGGATTAGGAAAAGTGTTCCTTAGGCCCTCCAGCAGCTTAAATTTTAAAACAGCACAAATATAGAAATAGATCAGGACAACCCAACCATTCCAGATTATGTATGAGAAAGGTAGTGAAGTCACTGAACAGTTATTAGATCCAATACCCTGCACATATATGCAAGTTGCTTCCTAAATAATGTAGATGTAAAATATAGATCTATTGCTCACAACAATTACAAAAAAGTTGTAAAAACGTTTAACTAAGCACGATTAAGGCCATTTATAAGCGGCGCATTTTTCAGTAATGTTAACGAAGCACAAGTCGACTTTGGGGCCAATTTTCACATGCACAACAGTCGGTTTGCAGACGTGTAGGCTGGAAGAACCCTCAGCCACTTTACCACTCTGTGATTGGCCCGGACCGAAGCAAGGCGGAAGTCTACAGAGCAGGGGGATTCCCCGAGGGAAGTTCCCAACTCAAACTGGGGCTATGTAAAACATACAGCGCCATATCCTCTCCGGCGCTTCGTAACTTTGCATCTCAAGATTAGGGCGACGATGCTGCGGTGGTGTCAAAACAACAAATACGAGTTTAATAATAAGGGACTCAAATGAAGGTAAGGAGGACGCTGTCTCTCACGCGGGCAAACACACACACACAGACACACACACACACATTGACGCGCGCACACTAACCGGCGGAGGGATCTGCGGAGCTGTGGCTCGGTCGCTTTACTGAAAACACCGGCTGAATGCCGATCCAGTTCAAAGAATACGGAACTATGCAAAGCACTGTTTAAATGTCACTTTGTAACCAGTCGCTGATGTATCCTGGATGGCTTTAGTGTAAGTTGTGTTGTTTATTTCTCATTTAGGCTGCAGTGGGTGCTCCTACTGAGGGCTGTTTGTATGGAGTGTCATTGATAGGCAGGTTTTAACTCTCACAGGTCTCACATTATTGTCATTTTCCAGCTGCATTTTTAATCTTAAAGCTCCTTTTTCTCTCAAAGTTGATTGGACTTGTGAGGGATATCGTTAAACATGTATTTCCACTTTTCATGGACAACACCACACTCATACTCTTGAGTGGCATCAATTATTTATCATTACTTTGAGGCTCCTGTTACTCACTATATGTTACATGCATCTTAAACATGTAACTCCTGCAAACTTCAGAATTACATGGTAGTTAGTAGGTAATAAGATTACACAATCAGTCTTGGTAGACGTTTTATTATTGCAACACTTTAGCTTATTTCAGCCTGTCAGAAATTAGGCAACACTATAAAGGTTAATTTCCCCATTCTTTGTTATTTCATAGCCTACAGATGCAAATTAAAATGGTATAAAGCAAGAAAAAATGGCACATCATTTGCAAGTTTTACTTGAGAAATTGTTTGTAAAGCAGTTAAAAGTTGTTGCGTGTCCACTCATGTAGGTCTCATGTCTGCAGTGACAGTGATGACAAGGCATGGAAAGGAACATTGGAGACCAGCTCAACAAAGCTTTTGAAGCTTATCGCCAGGTCTCCATCGAAAAAGACAATGCTCAAAAGGAATTGAAGAAAATGGTAGGCAAATGTTTGGATGTGATGAAGTGGTCATTAACTCTGCAGCAGGAGGGTGGTGTGAAACAGCATGTCAGAAGTACTTATACCTCTTTTTAGTTGCCAGGTTTTTGTGTTTAAAAAAGGAGAGTTGTATACAAGAATTGTGATACTTTTTTCTTCTTTTTATTTGATGCATACTGTAAAATTCAACTAAAAATGAAAGGAATCTGATAGGAAAAGTGTAAAAAATACAAGCTGAAATAATCCACCGGCATAAAAGTGTACATCTTTAAAGTAATATCTTGTTTATGCATCATTTGAGTTATTTTCTATATTTGTTCTCCTACCAAAAACTATTATATTTTGCTGAGTTTGTAATAAGGCTATGCTGCCCTAGTTAGTCATTTGCGCCCTTTAGCTATAGCCATAGTTTGCAGAGAGGTTTCAAAATAAGAAAAGGTTCTCATCACAGGTCTTACAAAAAATAATAATAATAATAATTAAAAACAATCCACTGGACATGGTTTTTTTGGGATTGTTTTTAACTTTTTCTTTGGAGTGAATATGACCTGGATGACTGAGAATCTTCCCCAGCATATAGTGAACAGATCTTAGTCAGGAAGAGGAAACAAAAAAGCAAACAGCTCCACATTATTACTTATAGTTAATCAGAAAATATTTATGCTTTTGGGAGATTTAAGTATATGTTTGGCTTCACTAACTTGATTCTATTAACTTGTAGTTATAACAATGTTGGAATCCTGTTTTAACTTTATCCAAACATCAATTGTCCAGATATAAAAGGAAACTTGTAACAATTTGAGGAGTTGTGATAGTATACAAGACTTTTAAAAATTGTTTTTTTGACTTTTTATTTGATACATACTGTAAAATTCAACTTAAAATTAAAGTAATCTGATAGGAAATGTGTAAAAAATATAAGTTGAAATAATCCACCTGCGTTAAAGTGTACATCTTTAAAGTAATATCGTCTTTATGTATCGTTTGAGTTATTTTCTATATTTGTTCTCCTACCAAAAACTATTATATTTTGCTGAGTCTGAAATAAAGCTATGCTGCCCTAGTTAGTCATTTGCACTCTTTAGCTATAGCCATAGTTTGCAGAGAGGTTTCAAATAAAGAAAAGGTTCTCTTCGTTAACAGGTCATACAAAAAAAAAAAAAAATAATAATCCACTGGACTATGACTGTTTTATTGTTTTTGGATTGTTTTTAACTTTTTTTTGGGAGTAACTATGACCTGGATGACTGAGAATCTTCCCCAGCATATAGTGAACAGATTTAAGTCAGGAAGAGGAAACAAAAAAGCAAACAGTTCCACATTATTACTTATAGTTAATCAGAAAATATTTATGCTTTTGGGAGATTTAAGTATATGTTTGGCTTCACTAACTTGTTTCTATTAACTTGTAGTTATAACAATGTTAGAATCCTGTTTCAACTTTTTCCAAACATCAATTGTCCAGATATAACAGGAAAACTGTAAAAAAAAAAATGGTTAGCTGTGATAGTAAGAGTTTGATTGTTGTGACTCTAATGCCAGTTCTTCAACTAATTATACATAGTGGTACACATTAATTTCAATGATGAGTAAAATACAAAAAAAAAACAAAAAAAAACATAGTCATTAGTCTAAACTGTTTTTCTTGTTCTTGAGTAAATGTATCTTTCATCTCTTTGGTGTAACTAGAACATTTTAAAATCTAAATGTGCCAGGGGTATGAAAGATGTGGGCTCAGCTTATTTACAATGGCACATCAAAGACAGTTATCAGTAGGTGGAAGATTATACAACAGCAGTAACATTAGTAAAAGTTGACTTTTCTCAAAGTGAATGAAAGATTTCGATCTGGGGGAATGTATTAAGCATGGTAGCATTAGCATCAGAATATGGGGATCATGTATTTCATTTAACAATTGGCCAAGAGGGCAGAAGGATGAGTTCATCCAGGGCTTCATTCATGCAATAACTGACATCCTGTGTATTTTTATTTTAAATCTAAGAAAATAACATATATGCTTTTACAGAAGGAACATTATGTGCAATACACTCAAGAACTTATAAAGCAAATAGAAGACCAGCAGCGTTTGATTTCTGATCTCGAAGCTAAGTTGTCAGCGACAAGACATCCCTCAGGTTAGTATGTGTCATCATTTACTTTTGGATGTTTTTTTTTTTCAAGTATTCAAACACTGTGAGAAAATTAACATTTGATTCTTTTATTATGTGGAACCGATCATTTTTATTTGATTCTTAGGAGAGATGAAATGTGAGCGCTGCAACCATCTCCCCAAAGCGTCCAGCTCTTATAGGAAGATACAGTGCTCGGTATGTTCACAGTTACAATGTTTATTGCCTTTTTTCTACATCTTCTCTTTGTAAAATTCATTTTTTGCATCCTGTCACCTGCACCTGTGTACAAAAAACGTTAAGGGTTTTCAGCTTAAAATTTCCCCATGCTTTTATTCGATCTGATTTTAAATTCCGTTCTGGTTTGTTTATATAGCCTTACTTTCTAATATGTCATCTTAAGGCATTAAACAGAATGAGTTCAATCAGCTCAAATATTTTTACGGTAATTAAAATAAGTTGTTTTTTTTTATCTAAGGAAAGCGCAGCTGATTGCATTGAGTCATTAACTTGCAGTTTTCACTCCTCCTGGGTGAGCATGTAGCAACAGTGGACAATCGCTTTCATTCTGCCATTGGCTTTGCAGCATGCAGGTACGATTTTTTTCAGAGACACAAACCGCAGCGTCATCAGTAAGATGTTTAGAACACAGTCAGGAAATTATCCAAAGTGATACATGTAAGCATCATCTTATCGGATTTTACCTTTCTTTTTTAAAGCTGTTGGAGATGAGCTACTCAGGTTAATACTGGGTGTTTCTGAGCTCTAAACTAACATTACAATATACAAAAAATTTTATGCTGAGGTAATGAATAGATATTATTATTATTTGGTAATACTGAAGTTGTTATATTTGTAGTAGGGCTGCAACTAACGATTATTTTGCTAATCGTTTAATCTGTCGATAATTTTTTTTTTCAATTAATCGAGTAATAATCGGAAAGTAAAAGATTCCTTAAAGAAGAAGTTTTACAGAATTAAGCGAGGTTAAACTAAAACGGATAGAGCATTTTGATGGACGAAAAAGTTTATTTTATCTTAAATGCAAAATGTTTATATATTTTTTTTACAATTTTGATATAATTACTGCTCTAAGTGGGTTGCTCTGTCAGCTTTCAAGTCTTCATACTCTAGTTATCAATTAATCGATTACTAAATTAGTTGATGTTTATTTCAATAAAGGATTAATCATGATTAATCCGACTAATTGTTTCACCCTTAATTTGAAGTATTCGTATTACTTTCACAACAGATGTAGATGTGAGTGGGTAATAAACAGCATTAATCAAAATCGTCAACACTCAAAATCATAGACACTTTGAAAAATAAGATATATGTATAAGAATAATTTTTTTGCACGTTTTTTTTTTTTTTTTCAAGTTAAAGAATAAATTCATGCATGTCTTTACATAAACTCAAACTAGCTGATTTCTATTAAGTATAAAATGACTTTGAAATGCCATAAAATGACTGTAAAACCCATGTAACATTAGAGCCATTCTTCGGTAGGTTTTCTATGCCGATGATTCATAGAGTAGAAACAGCTAAAACCGTCTTATTGCGTTTGAATAAAGAATGATGACAAACATTGTTCAAAATAAAGCAATATCCTTTTTTGTTAATTTTTTATTGAACAGAGCGTCTATGGCTCTATGCAGACGCCTGGGCCCCTCTGTGTTAGTGAGATTACCTACATAAAAACGGTTATATTTGGAAGAAAAACAGGACATGTTTTGCTCATATAGAATTATAGAGTTATTTTTGAGTGACAAATTATTAAGATTGGCACAAATTGCTGCTATTTGTTAAATGAATCAACATTACTTTTGGTTTTCTTTACTATGTATATTTACAGTGCTGTACAAAATATTGCCCCCTTTTAGAATTTATTCATAACTTACACTATGTTTCAGACTATATAATAATTTTAATGTCAGACAAAAATAAATAAAGGAAAATCCAAAATGCAGACTTCAAAATATGATTTAAGTTGAAAGGAAACAAAAGCTATCCCGAGCTATCCTCTGGAAAAAGTAATTACCCCGTAAATTTCAGTGCGCCATCCACTGACGTCACCCTGGGTGACATTTTACCAACTCTTCTTTGCAGAATTATTTTAATTAGGTCATATCTGACTTTTTTTTTTTCTTTAAGCATGAGCTTTTTGTTTAAGGCCATGCTACAACATCTCAGTTGGGTCTAACCTTAATCTTTACAAAGCAGCTATATGACCACAATAGTTAAAATATTTATTTTGTCAAATTGTGAAAGCCTTCCAAAAAGTTGCACTTTTGTCTTGTAACGAAAAAAATATTTTCTCGAAGGTATTTAAAATTATTATTTGTTTTGTTGCAAATATGAAACAGAATTTATTATCCAACCTTCTCTTAATGCTAAATCTTGAGTCCTGCTCTTAAATCAGCCAAGTATAACCAACACTGCTTTAGATGTCCTACGTTTTCTCAAAGCAACTTCTAAACCGGTTTTAAATTCTTGTAGATTGGGCGTGCTTTGGTGGTGCAGTGGTTAGCGCACACGACCCATGTATGGAGGCCTTAGTCCTCGACGTGGTCGACCCGGTTTCCAATCCGGCCTGTGGTCCTTTCCCGCATGTCTCTTCCCCTCTCTCATACCCCCTTTCCTGTCAGTCTACTGTCCATAAAAACGAGCCACTAGTGCCTCAAAAAAAAAAAAAAAAATTCTTGTAGATTGGGGCGGCTTGGCCTGCTTTTGGAAATCCTTTAGCCTTCTTCATCATGTCAGACATTTGCTGAATAAAGGATTTCTTCATCTATATTAATATTAGTGCTGTCAATCGATTAAATTTTTTTAATCGCGATTAATCGCATCAATGCCTGAGTTAACTCGCGATTAATCGCATTTTAATCGTAAATTTTTTTTCTGATTGAAAATCATTTAAATACTCTCGATGACATACAAAAAATACATACAGGCTAGGTTTGTGCCAATGTTCTTTTTTTTAAATGAAAACAGGTCACAGACACTGATTTATGCCATAGACACATGGCAAGAAGATGGGGAGGCATGTAGCAAAAAATAACAAATATGTAGCCAAAAAAAAGGCCCTGAAAACAGGCTGATGTAAAAGACAGTCTTTACAGTTAATACAGTCTTTTGAACAAAGACAAGCATTTTACCCTACTGCTATAAAATGTAGTACAGTTAACATTAGATGTTAATTAACCAAGATAATAATGAACAATTTTCAATAGACCGACATCACTAGATGGAGGTAGTCTATGCTCTAGAAAGTTACTTTTCAGCCTCTTAACAAAAATGAGAACACACACACACACACACACCCACACACAGACACACCCACCCACCCACACACACACACACACGATACCGACCTGTGGCGTACACAGACAGCAATAGTGCCGTAGCAGATTCCATTTCACCTCAGTAATCTGTTTTCTCAGCGTATTTCAGGTTGCTATTAGGCACCAGACACTCAACTTGTTTGTTGGTGGTGGGGCTTAAAGAAAAGGCACTAGTGTCACCCAGTGTATGAGCGTCTTTTTTCCTTGAGGAGCTCTCCGCTCTCGAAGCCTATGAGAAATGCATTACTGGGGGAAAATAGCCCCGCCTTCCCGCAGGCTGCAGCGGGATGTACTTGGAAAATTGTACCATAAAACCACATAGCATTAATCTAACGTTAAAAAAATTATCGCCGTTAAAATGGCCTCGCGTTAACGCGATAATAACGCGATAATTTTGACAGCACTAATTAATATATTAATCAAGTCCGAGTACCGCTAATGTAATTCCCATTAGTGTTGAAAAAATCTTGTTAATTATGGTTATTGGCAAAATAAAAGCCAAATACATATATGTGGTTTTTTTGTTTTCGTTTGGACAGATGAAAGACTCAACAATAAAATGCCTTTTTTCATTTACTCTTATTATAGTTTCTGATATTAAAATGTTTGTGATGATCTGAAACAATAAAATATGGCTGTACATAGACACATTTTTTCACAGCACTGTAAATGAGTTGTTTTCCTATGTTTGCATGCTTCGGGCCCTGTCTGTATGGTTTTACTTCACCAGATGGTGCTAGAGGATAATATCGAGGCAGCAGTTTCCTCTTCGCTGGGATTCTTCAACCAGCCAGGAAACTGTTTTTTTTTTTTTTTTTTTTTTTCCCCACACTTGTGATGCATAAATAAAACGGCACATGCATCAACAGCCTGCCCTTTGGATAATTGTTGTTAATGATGACTAAAAAATTAAATGTGTCTTTTTTTTTTTTAGGAGAATATGGCCACTGTTACTGGTGCTCCAAATTTGACAGTCAACAACAGCACTGATTAGTACGTGTCTCTACTCTGGAACATTTTTTTTTTTTTTTTTTTACTATTTTCTTTCTTTTTTTTGACATTTCTTATCTACTCTTTTTTTCGGGTGGGATTTAGTCAGGACATGCTGGTGGCTTTCGAAACAATTCAGGGCAAATTCCGACAGATCCAGGACCTGACGGCGAAACAGAAACATCATCTGAAAAGGTTCAACGGAAGTTACGATGCTTCAAACGGTAGTATTGACAGTGGCTTTGCACAGTGTGAGCTGAAATATGATTTTATCTTAATTGGGTTGTATGGGTCTTAACATAATTTTGCTTGTAAATGTCATATCAGCTGATGAGTGTATTTGCTTTTGCTCTCCTTTTTAATTAAATTACTCAATAAATAGAAGTAGCTTATTATTGCCAGAAGGTATTGTACACTGCAAAAACAATCTAAAAATGAGTAAAAATGTCTTAAATTAAGTGTATTTACCCTTAATTTGAGGAGGTAAAGAAGGTTATTTGCCAATTGAATTAGAATTTTTACTCTTAAAATGAGATAATTACATAGTATGCACTCGAAATAAGACAATGTGTTTGTTTTTCCTTACGGTATTTTAAATGTAAATTGTCTTGTTCCATTGGCAACGTGTCTCACTTACCTTCTCAATTCAAGAAAGAAAGAAAAAATGACTTATTGAGATTTACATTTTTTGCTGTGTAGAAAAATAAACTAACCATCCCAATGGACAAATGATGTCACTTTACTTTGAATTGTGGCTCTTTGGTTAATTGTAATCATAATGCATCATTACTGATATTTCTATTTTGAATAAAAGAGACATAATTTTTAAACATAAAAACAGTTTAAGATGTTTAAAAGCAGTCAAAACTTTAAACACAAGAATTTTTTCTTCTTTAAAGCCTCAAGCTTCATACAGTTAAATTCCAGCTCTGTCTCCTCCTTTTTGCTGGGAGGCAATGGCTCACTCTCCCCTCTGATAACTCGCTCTCCATTTTGTTTAAATGGGACCAATTTATGCTTCAAGTTTTCTTTTGCTTTCTGCTTTGGACCTAACAGGAAGGGTCGCTGTTTAATTTGCTGTTGGCGAGTTATTTTCCAATTTAAAATCTTTTTTTATTTTAAGTAGCAAGATTAAAACAAAATGATTATGACCTTATCAAAATAACGCCAGGAAAAAAAATGGGAATGTTTCTTATTTTTTTTATCGACTGAATAAATGATTAATGAATCTGAAATCCCAGTGAATCCCCTCCAAGCTCAAATTTGGATTAAATTCAACAGTTTCCAGTACAGGGCCATGGAAATATATACTTTAATGATTTATCACATCTTTATATCACAGACGAAAAGTTTCTTGTGAATTGGAGGGATGATGATACATGCCTTTTGAAAATACCTGACAAATAACAATGGAGTGCAATTTGCAACCCGACACATAATACTTTTAGAACCTCATCTTTTTTTCTACCAGCATTGCTCATTTAGAGACTAAATGTTGCCTATTCTCTGTGAAATAAGCTTTGCCAGATTCGCATCCATGAAAATTGGTTTCATCACTTCCCTTGTCCTTGCTGAAGAAAGCCATCCTTGGCAGCATGATGCTACCACCACCATGCCTTATTGCAGGGATGTTGTAGTTAGAGTAATATGCAGTTTTGCTCCACATATAGTTTTGCATGAATCAGCCTAAATTTGAATTTTGGTCTGATCTTATCAAATCATCATCTTCAAAATGTTTGCCGTGTACTTTTCATGGCTACAGACAGGGTCTTTTATTGAGTGATTTTAAAAAATGTGTTTTTTTCTTCTTCCAAGAAGGACAGATCTGTGAAGCGGACAACAAATAGTTGTCCTGATAGCAGATCTGTGGATCTGCTGTGTCTGTTTGGAGTAAAAAATACTTGCTACTGGCATACTTGATGCATATTGAAGTCGTGCTAAGAATGCAGTTGCACTATACTTTAGCCTTTTTCTGACAATTGATCGATTGATCATAGCTTAGAAAAGTGTTTCATAACGCTGTTCATGATGCTGTTTATTCACTAGTGTTCTCTAACAAGTCTAGATTTAAACAGTGATAAAAATGAACAAAATTACTTCACTTATAGTTAAGGGACTTCCGAAGGTCGTGGCTATTAAGATATTTATTAGGTAAGCAAATAAATAACTAACATTTTCTTAAAGATTTAGTTTTACAGTCAAGATTCGTATATATTTCAACCATGTGGTACAGTCACACCAGGAAAAAGGGTAATGAGGTTCTGGCAAGGTAAGCCAATTAAATAATAGGGAAAGAATTACTCCAAGATCTTTATTTTCAGCCGACTGATGGAGGAAAGTTGATTTGATGGAGTCTTTAATGTGTTTTTTTTTTTTTTTAAAGAGCCAATGCCACAAACTTTAAACAGATGATTTTTAGTTAGATTTTATCTCTATACTTAGAAATCATCCTGCTGACATAAGAGAGAGGCTCATGATTTCTTGCTTTCCTATCATCTTCCAGACCAGCGCTTCTCCATGCCGATCCAGTGCACAGACCGAACTGCAGAAGCAGAGAGGCCTTTCCATTCGACACAGAGGCCAGCCGTAAACATCCCCCACCTGCCGGCATCCTTGGCGTCCCGCGGCGCCAGTCAGGAGGACAGGGACTTGGTAGACTCTCTCACCAAACTCAGTGTCAAATTCCCACCCCCTGCGGACAGTGAATATGACTTCCTGAACAGTGCTCCGGAGAGGAACATTGCCCTGTCGGTGCCTCGAAAGCAGCCCCTCGGCTCCCCCACGCTGCCAGAGGAGGAGCCCGTGGAACTGCCCTTGCCTTTTGTCTACCCCACGTCCCCCTCCCACTCTACGTCCTCCTCACCCTCCCATGAGAGTGTGCGGGGACCCCAGCAGGTGAGAAACAGAGAGGAAGGTCTGAGAAAAGTAGTAGCAAATTATCAGTTTCTGATTGGTCTCTGCTAATGGAGGAGTAAAACAGTGTGAAGTCCAAAAATATCTCCCTGGCTAAACATATTACCGTGTAATGTGTGCCGATTCCATTTTTTTAAAACTTGAGCATGGGTGCTCTGCTTATAATTGGCATGTTTGTTTGGAATTGAGATCCAGATGGAAGCACTTTAGATGAAATATTATGTTTGCTTAGTTTCACTGCTGATGTGTAAATGCTTAAACATAATTGTGAATGCTGTACTGTAAGCTATAAAAGTTCCTCCTTATTTTAAAGTAATATTACCCCAACAAATGCATCTATGGTAGACAGAGATTTTTTTTTGTTAGTGCAGATAAAGAGGGAGATAATTAAACACTTGAGAATTGCTTTTCTTTTACTTCAGTGCAGCTCTTTGTGTTATCTTTCCAATGCAACATGAAGTCATATCTTATTGAGATGGTTAGTACTTTAATGAGTCATAAAAATAATAATTTCCCTTTATTTATCCCATTCTGCAGTCCTTCTGGACCCCTGAACTGTTTGACCTCGGAGCCAACAAGGAGCCTCCGAGCAGCAGTCCGATTAAATGTGCTTTTTGCCCCGACATAGTTCCCCAGAACCTCATGACAAGCCACCTCTACTTGCACTTCTCGCCCAATAAGGAAGCAGAGAAATGACAATGGACTGACTCCAGAGACTGACAGGCAAAGGTCCGCACTTACTTCAAGAACTTTTTACTGTTTTTATGGTCTTCACAGGCGTGGTCCTGCTTGACACGAAGTCCAAGGCGCTGTACAGGAAAAATTACACTGCTAAAAGACTTGAATCCATTTATTTAATACTGAAGAATTTAATGGTACACTTTCTTGTCCATAATGATTTTCTAATATCACACTGAGAATTTACAGGGATGCATATGGTATATATGAGCAAATAAACTATATATTTACTCTTGCCAGCTTTTATACTTTGACTTGTTTTTAAATATATTAAAGCAAGATTTATGTGTGCAAAATAAAAAATAATAGGAAAGAGTGAATCTGTAATGGAGCAGATACTTGTTTTGAAACGCATGATATATGTTATTTTGTTGTTGCGAAATAAAAATAATGTAGGCAGGGAAAGTGACATTACGTCACTAAAGTTGATGATAACATGTTGAGATTATCACTAAAGATAACTGTTTTTTAATTAAGCAAATTGTACAAGCAGTGCCTTCAAAATATATTTTTAATCATTGACAGAAATAAGCAGTTTAAAATTAAGTCTTAGGTAATTAGGTAAAGCATTAGGTAAATTCTTTGTTGCAAAAAGTAGAACGTTTTAGCTTTTGTCATTGAGCAATCTATAGTGAAAAAAGCACGTTAATGTGTGATTTAAAGCAATACCCTGATTTTTATAACATAGGTGTAACTGAAAGTATCATTTTTTTTAAAGTTTACTTTAAAGAAAGATTTGTAGCATTATAATCTATGCTTTCCTGTTTCCCTGGGATACACAACATGCCTCAGAAGCCCATTTATTTAACTCGCTCTTCAAAATGGGAAAGAAAAGAAAAGTAAGTCAGATATATGTGTTTACTCATTAATCATAAAGCAGCAAGAAGAACTTGTTCATATCATTAAAAAATGAAAACTGAAACTGGAAGTAGATCAATCTTAATTTAGCAACCAAGTACACTGAGGATGATGCTAAGAACAATAAAAAAAAAAATCCTAAAATTTAGAGCTGTAGTATAAGTGTATAAGGTAGTGTGAAATGATTAAACAGAAATAAAAAAGTTGAATTATTTTAAAGCATTTAAAATAGATATTAAAGGAAGAGGAAACTTTAAAGGGTTTAAAGCAAGAAAACTAGAAGATCTGATTTAAAATAAGAATGAAAATATAATAGAAACGATAAAAAATTCAAAATAGAATGAAATTTTCAATCGAGAAGATGGGTTATATAAGGATCTCGACCTGTATCACCAAGGTTATTTTAGTATATGGTTGTTTTTTGTGTCCTAATGTCTAAGGTGTGTCACAGATTTTAACCCATCAAAAATGTCACTTTTTATACAATAAGAAAAAATACAGCTGCTCAAAAGGAAAAGAATAGCTTAAAGAGTTATGCCCAGAAAAAGCGGACTTCTTTTTTTGCATGAGAAGAATTCATCTCATGAAATAATACATGTAAATCTCCTAATTTGAAAGTCCTTACTTTGCCAAAGACTTTTCCCATTTGGAGGTAAAGAGTGTATAGAGGGGTGAAACAGGTATTGTGATAAAGAGACTGAAAGTGTGTAAAATATGTAATTTGTTTTTCCCTAAATTTATTTAAATGAGAAATAATTAGTGAAGTATGTTGGTGGCAGGCTGTTGGGATGCTTCAGTTTAACATGGAGGGGAACTCTGGAGCAAAAGGTTCCAACCATCCATCCATTCATCCATCCATCCATCGAGCCTTTTTCTTAGTACTTTGAAATAATACTAAGATAAAAAATATACACAATCCACAGAACGGAAAAAGGGAAAATATTGCCATTCAACAAACACAAAGAGATGAATATTGCATATTGATGAAGAAAATACCTGTTTATTTTTGGAGTGACATAAAAACAAAATTCTGCCTTTTTACATGAAATCCTTATAAAGTGAATTTATTCACATCTATCTTTTTTTGGCAAATACATATCTCTAATGATCCTGTCTCCTTAATCTGTGAACAGCCGAACATTGTGCAGTCTGCATGCTTTTCTCTCTGGGATCATGAACAGCTGCTTGCTCATAATTATGTTGTCATTCGTTGTTATTTGGAAGAGGAAACTCATACTGACAGCTAGATTATTTTTGTGTACGTGTGTGTATTTCTGTACACTACAGTTGCTTACTTCTGTATACTGTACTATGCACTATGAGGGACACTGTTATGGCTATCGTTTTCAGTAAAACATGGATTCATCTCTCTCCTAACTTGAGAGATTGTAGATTTGAAATGCATTTAAGAGATATATGAAAAAAAAAAATCAAAGGGGACAAAAAAAGGAGTAGGGTATGGATTGAGATGGAAAAGTAGCAGGCTGATTACAAGGTGTCAAAATTGCCAGGAGCAAGAAGGTGAAAGCAATCAGGGGTGAGAAGAGTGCAGCATTCGTGAGGGGCAACTAATTATCCATCTCATTTGTGGAGGAAAGCATTTGAGGCAGCTCTAGTCCACTGAATGGTGACAGATTGGTGCGGAGGAGAGGGGAGGTGTTAGAACAATGGAGCCCAGCTCACCATCATTACTGCATGCTAATCAGCAGCGCTTCTGCACCACCAGTCCATGCTAGAGAGTTCGGGGAGACAGGGAAGTCACCGGCTTCAGGGGACTTCAATCATTTCCAAGAAGGGGGAGAAAAAGGGAGAAAACTGACCCGGCCTTGCCTGTTGGCGCTGTACCCCTGCTTATTTGAGAACGCTGGTTATCCTGTGCAGACTGATCATTGCGGCCTCCCTATTAGTTTGCTCTTGCAAGATAATTGTGCTGTGAGTGTTCAGTTCTAACAAGCGCCAGCAGGAATAATAGTTCACTGAATGATGGAGTGCAAGAAAGTAAGTCTTACTAACAATCAATATGTATGGAATATTGGTTGAGATTTGGTAAAACATGAGGGTTGTCAGATTCTTACACTATTCTATTGATAGTGTAAGAATAAAAAAAAAAATAAATCTGATAAAAGACACCCAAAAACCAGAAATGACCACTTCAGGTAACTGCAGTAAAATAAAACTCTAGTTAATTTTCACATTTTGACTCACCAAAATGTTTTGCCACTGGGAGTGTGAACAGAAACAAAAAATAAACAACAAAATTTATGTTTTTTTGTAAGTGAGGACATTTTTTTTCTAACCAGCTGACCAGCAGTGTGCAGCAATGTGGAAGAGGCAGCACTGCATCATAAAATAGGACCAAATAAATCATGTTACTTTAAAATCTCATTTTAAAAAAAAGGACTTTAGAACATAGTGATAAAATGGAAAATTGTAGCATCCATCTTTTCCTTATTATGATTTTAATAGCATGTTTAATTTGCTGCTGGTTGTTCAATTCAGTTTAATCTGGTATCTAATTTTCCAGATGAAATCTGCCACTCACACTGAAGGGCAACCCGGCTCACCATGCCTTTTGCTGCAGCATCTAGCACAGGACCCAGCGAAGATGAAAAGAAGAACTGTAAAAGGAAGGACAAAACAAACTTAAAGCTGTGTCAGCATCAAGAAGGAATGACGGATGTTTCCCAGAAATTATTTTTTTCTTGAAAACAGTTTGTTAAATAGTTTCTATTCCCCTCTGTGCAAATAAACCTGGGCTAAAAATTGACCATAGATTTTCTCTATGAATTAAACATTTTAAAGTATAAAATACAGTTTAAAACTTTTACACTTCATCCCAAGTTCTGCCATTAAACACGAGGTCTTGAGGTCAATACCTTTCAGTTTGAAAACCATTATAATGATTATTCTAGTCTTGATATACAATCTGGGTCTCGAAGGTTATAGGGTAATTCTGGTTTCATATTTACTCTAGTTAGTTTTACACTTGCCATTAATAATAAAATAAAAACATATTTTCTCAACAGTGGGGAAACTAACATGATTTAGGTCTCAACTTATAAACTAATTTAAAGTCTTTATGCCTTTTCCGTCTATAAATAATACAATGCAATGCAAAAATAACCCAAAAAACATAATGTGATGCATGCACTAAAAGCCTGCTAATGCTCATGTGGATGTTTTTAAGTTATTGTAGCGAATAGCACACATACCCAGTAGCTTATTGTGATATGAGCTTAATAAATTCAACTTTATACATGATTTCGAGGGTTTTAAGTTATGGTGTTCTTTTAAGTTTGTTTTCTTTTATTTACTATTTTGTTTAATTTGGTCTTGCCATATTGTTTCATGCTATAGTTTATTTGGTGTATTTTTTGTACTCTAGGCTTTGGGGCAACAGAGGCCATCCGATGAGTTTGCCCTGCAACCAAAGAGATGTTGGTTCAAGCCCTGGCTTTCAGTGTTGTGTTCTTGGGCAAAAGACATCCCTCGCACAACCTACTGATGATGGTCCGAGGGCCCGATGGTGCCAGTATAAAACAGCCTCGCTTCTGTCAGTGAGCCCCAGGGCAGCTGTGGCTACAATGTAGCTTGCCACCATCAGTGTGTGTGTGAATGACTGAATGTAGTGTAGAGTGCTTTAATCAGATCTCCTGACGTGAAAAAATATATGTCTATCTGCTTTTAATGCAATTTTCCACTTATCCCTCAGTTTATGTATTTGTCAGTTTTCATTTATCCTTGCATTGTTTTGTGCTGAATTCCAGTACCATGTCTGCTACTTCCTTGTGTTTTACTTTGTACACTGTCTTTGCTCCATTGTTTTCTTGTTATGCTTGGCAGTAGGTTTTTGCCTTTTGTTTCCATTAAAATATTTTCATCCATCAAACCTCCAGATCCTTTATGAGATGACGCTTATTCATCATTACATGTACGTAAAAGGGGGTATGAGTTGAGAAGTGGTTACTGAGTTTTTTTTGGAGGCTCTCCAGAACCAGTCCAGAAACAGCTGAACACCTGCGGTATGAAGAGTCTGATGTGGTAGTTTTAAAGTGCCCCACGGAAAGTATAGAAAGGACTTATATTAAATTCACCTTTAGTTGGAAAATTCATGGTGGAACAACAGCAAGCAGATGATGAAATTGTAGCACACATACACACATGTCTAAACAGAAGAGCAACAGCTCCTATCCAGAGCTTTAAAACCTATAGTGTCTGAAGAGGGGTGAAGAGCCACGTTTGGCTGTCTTGGTTAAAGACCTGTTACATACAACACACTAAACTGCTAATCTCTGATTACCTTTTCACTTCTAGTAAATAAACAAAGTAGAAAATAATGATTTCAAAAATTAACTTTTTTGTGAAATGTGGTTTTTC